TAAGGGTAGCGATTCTTTATATACTACAAAGTGGATGGACCCCTACTGCTGCTATTATTAACTCTCATCCGAAGGGCGCTTTTCGCCCATACGCAAGCTTTACTAAATGGGCGATCGTTAACAGCAGCGCTAACGGGCGCAACCCCCTGTGAAAGGCTCTCATTGAAATTACATGCGGTGTACGAGTGAGCCCCACCCAGTCGACTTATTCTTCCGGAGCAATAAACCCGGCCGACCCACTTTTCAGCGCAGCACGGTGCAAGGAAAAAATAAGAGATGACTCGCAAAAAACAGCCGCCGCAACATTAGTGGGACAGTGTGACGTGCTTTAGCGTACAACCGAGACGTACACAGCTTTACGTCCTATAAAGTTGGCGCAGACCGACAGACGTGGTGATCGTCTCCCGCTCTTGGACTCTTTTTTCGTTCCAGCCCGCCTCGGGCAGGCTGGCCGGACGAAGGAGCCCTTGTTCGTACGGAATCACTCTCTTCCCTTGCTTCGTGTAACGTCGCATCACAGTCTCCGTTCCCCGAGTTCTTCTATTCTTCTGGTTTTGGGCTCGTATTCACGGGCAGCAGAGAGGGTATTCGTGCAGCGCGCGGACGACGAAAATCGCGCCGCTGAGGGGCGAGACAGAAAAGATAAAGTTACGGGCGACGCGGAAAAGGCAGGATCGTTCGAGTGCAACGGACAATTTGTCTCCGGGGCTCTTGTGTCTCGTGCTTATAGGGAGCGGCGCGTATATGCAAACTGACTTGCGGGCACTTTTCTTCGCTTCCTTCTTTGTTTGTTGGTTTGTTTCTCAAAGCATCATTATTCTCCGTTGGAGTGGGCTTCTTGCCGTTGCGGGTGGTACCATTTTTCTTCTTCGACTCCGGCGCCTTGCTTTTCCTTTCTTTTTGTTAAATTTTGATCCGACCCTGAAAAACTCCTACACGGTGTACGTGTAGGCGGGGTCGGGCACTACAACGTGAGTTGACAAAAAAAAAAAAAAAGAACGAGAGATGCAAGACGCGAGGCGCAGGTGGCGCCCTCTCGATGAAGTCTTGGGTGTGCAGTGCATTCGTATGCGCGATGCACTGCAATCTCCTCGCCTTTACGTGGGTAGAGTCAGGAATCAGTGCGGTGCATCCAGAAACAGCCCGAGGACTCGAGCGTTGCCAGATTAGCGATGCAGTGCGTACCAACACTGCTACAACTGCGCTTGACGTGGGCGAACGAGATGGAGATATGCGAGCGGTCACCGCTCTCGCTATTTCAACGAGGCGTAGCAGTTTGTAGAAAATGAAGGAAAGAAAGAAGCTGCGTTTCTTCACTTGGAGAGTTCCTGCTTTTCCTGGCCTTTGTTTTTTGTGACCCTCCTTTCTCTTTAGTTCAGTGTAGAACGCGACTTGATGAGGAAATGAAGCGTTGCGTTTAAAATGCGTGGGTGAACGAGTTGGACTGGCGTCTACTCTATGTATTCATTTTTTCTCGCATTTTCTCTGTTAATGAACTGCGCCTTTTTTATTTATTTACAGAATACTGCGGTCGAAAGACCAAGCAGGGGGGGGCATAATAAAGAGTGATTCACAATGTAATTTAACTAAAGAGAAAGTTCAAGCAATAAAAACATGTTAAGGCAGCTGAACACAGGATAACATTTTTTTTAATATGTGTAGTTGTGTGCGCTGCGTCGCACGTTGAAATTCAAAAGCACGAGCATGATCTTTTTCATGTAATTTTTCTTGTATCTTTTTTTATTTCCATCATGTCATTAGTTTATTGACATTCCGCGTAATTGTTTTTTGTCTGTACCGCCTGTGGTGTTCTTTTAGAGCATTTCTTATTTTGTAGCTGTTCTTTTCCATCGCGTATCAGTTTTATACCTCTGTTATTTTTGTTGACTCTTGCCTTTGCCCCTGTTTTGATTAAATGCTTGTTTGTGTGTGAACAAACCTCCGTGTCTGCTCTATGAGTGCGTTGGTCAGGCCCACACATCACCACACGTGCAACCCCGCACGGGTCAACCGACCTGCAAATAAATTTGAAATGTGCCACTTCGAGGCCTTTCAGGCGTTGCAGGCCGAAGCGTGAAGCGTAAGCCTGCGAGTCTGCCGCACGTCGATGTTGGATCGGCGGGGCCTCACCCGAAGTGTGTGACGTTAGCTGGCATGAACCTCTTTGGTCTGTTGAACCTCTTTGTTGAACCGACGCTGCAAGGGGCCTTCACTCGTTCGCTATCACCATGTCGAAAACTTGGCTGAGTGACCCCAGTGCCAGGAACCGCCGCCTACACAAATTGGACCCATCGAGAAAGCTTCAAGTTCTATCGGACCTCTCCCGCCAGGATGCAACTTTACTGTGCCGCCTGTGGTTAGGAGTAGCTTTACAAAGGCGTACTCCTTTCGCATAGGAATGGCAGATAGCTCCCGATGTGAATCGTGCGACACTGACGAGACAATAGAACATCTACTGTGTTTTTGTGAACGTTTTGCGAGCGAACGCAACTTGCTACGCGAAACGTTGGAGACACTAGACAGTAGACCTTTTTCCGAAGAGAAGATACTTGGCTCATGGCTCTACGCGTCGCTGGCCAGCAAAGCGACGCGGGCATTGCTAAGTTTTCTAAAGACGACCGGACTACGCGACCGCCTATAAGCGTGCAATGGACAAGGTCACATCTACATACACGTTGCCCTTCACTTCTCTCTCTCTTCTCTTTTAATCCCCTCACCCCTTCCCCCAGTGCAGGGTAGCAAACCGGGCGTGCGTCTGGTTGACTTCCTTGCCTTTTATTTCTTCCCTTCCTCCTCCTCCTCCTCCTTGTTGAACCTCTTTAGGTCTGTACATGCGCTATCCGCAACAACCACACCGCACGATCCAGGACAGCTGCCGCACGTTAGCGGAGGGTGAAATCGCGAATCGGCTGCGCTATTTTGCCCTACGCCTGCGTGCGGCAGGTGTCCCAGCAAGTGCGGTGCGGCACTGTGCGGATAGCGCGTGTAACTGCCCTTAGAGAGGTGTTCCACTGAATTCGCCTATACTGTACAGGTCGACTGCATATCGGAAGGCGACGTTTTGCACTCCTCACGCGTGAGATGCAGTTGAAACTTCCATCTCACCGCAGTGACGACTCGTCGTCACTTGTACTCACTACAAGCCGCACGTCACAACAGCGCCACTTGGTTTCACTCACACTCACAAGACAGTAAGTGGACGGCGACAGGACTTGGCAAGAAGTTTCCCTAACTAAACAAGACAACTATCATAAAGCAAGATACATGCGGCGTGCAAAGACAAATACGAGAGAAGAGAAAAAGGAAACCCACTTGGAGTGTCGTTGTTCTCCTTTCCCACGCTTAACCTTCCCTTATCGTAACCAACCCAATCAATTGATCGATATGTGGGGTTTAACGTCCCAAAACCACCATATATGATTATGAGAGACGCCGTAGTGGAGGGCTCCAGAAATTTTGACCACCTGGGGTTCTTTAACATGCACCCAAATCTGGGCACACGGGCCTACAACATTTTCGCCTTCATCGGAAATGCAGCCGCCGCAGCTGGGATTTGAAACCGCGACCTGCGGGTCAGCAGCCGAGTACCTTAGCCACTAGACCACCGCGGCGGGGCCAACCCAATCAACGCTCTATATCATTGTAAACAGGACTATCTTAACGTAGCAGAGATCAACCAATAAAGTGCCACGCACTCTGGTTTCCCCGCTGCCGACAGCACTCCGTCGTCCTGTATCCTGTTCGCGAAAGTCGACAAGCGTGCATGGTCCCTCTAGATTGCATGTCTTCCACGTGCGCAAGAACAAATGTCCGATTAAAAGCAAGTTCTGAATGACAAATCCAAGCCCCCGAGTCGACACGGCAGAGGCAAGAAAAAAATATATTTTGAGTGCAAGGTCTTCTACAGCCACGCTAAGAACGGACTGATAAGCTCGCGACGTATGCGATCGCCGCCAAACAAATTCTTTCATCTGCTTAGAGGCAAAATAAGTACATACAGTAGCGAGCGGAGCCCTCTGTTCTGCAAACACTTTATACGTTATTGTAAACAGCATTTCTCTCATTGCGCCGAGGATCTTTAATCTCGGCAGTGCAAACACACGGAGAGTGCACTCAGGTGCTTCCAGTGCAACGACGTTCGGCAAGCTCTCGATGCATGTTGCACAGAACAAAAGTGTAGTTATAGAAGAAGAAGCGATTGCCGATGTGATCAATGGCTGCAAAAAACGGTTAGCTTCCCGTAATACTTGTTGGGAAAGTTCCGAGATTTCGGCCCGCACGAGAATTTGAAGCCGTGGCACGTAGGCTAAAACATGGGGGAGTAAATAATGAACTCTTTCTTCAAAGAAGCGACGCGGTTCTCCGCGCGTACAACCATTCGGATTTTTCATCTTTACTTGGTGTAAAGCTGCGCGATATTAAAAGAATAAAACAAAATATAAATATATAGTGAATGAAGTAGGCAGATTTTTCTGAAACCGTGACCACACGTGCAAAGGAGACAATAAATCGCGATTTCCTCATAAAAGTTTAAAGCCCCTACTTAGCTCCCACCCCCCCTGCAAGGTAAAAGAAATGCGTGGAAAGCGTGAGTCATCAAGTAATGATATGCATTCAATCTGTACATAGAACAGATGACGAGAGGAGCCGACATATTTTGTTGACTTTTATACAACGAAACCAAACCAAATTTGTATCCGGAAAAACTTTAACTCTTGACGGTGTCAAGTGCTCGGGGAGGGCCAATAACCGTCATTGGCGAACAGAGTGCGTGATTTTAAAGCTTTCTTCTTGTTTTCTAAAGCACGCTTAAGCAATCGAAAAAAATACGTGGTTATTATTTTTTTTTTTTGAGAAACTGTCAACGCTTGTGAATCCATGGTCAAACTTGAGGTATTGGGCGCGATTTCCTAAACATCACACAGTATTATACCACAAAAAGGCGCCACATTATGTTTCACAAAAAAATTATGAAATTGAAAAGGATCATCAAAGGATACAAAGATCTGGTCGTCCATGTATCGCTTTCGTAGATTCTCGACGATGGCATCCTCGTTGATTTTGGTGAGGAGCACCATGTCGTCCACACCACTGGTGCGGTACTGCTGGCTCTGCCAGTGGTACACCTGAGAGGAGAGAATAAAATAACAACATTAAATTAAGCTTGGAATGCTGCGCGACAAATGGTGTATAAAAGCCGGTAAGCGAAAACGTTCAGACAACCAGCGGTAATGCTCAGCTCACAAGCTTCTAGATTTACAAAGAACAGGCGTGCCATAGAAATTGATCCATTTATGAGACATGTCACGGAAAAAGCAGCGCGGTCATCGACCATGCAAAAAGTAGTAGGTTGACGCTCAAGAACCCTGTGCGTTAATTACTTGACAGAGGCATCCAAAGAGCGCAAACTTAAAGGAATCTTGCGTATGGGCTGCGCAAGAATCTCGCTTCTTAGATATCGCTCTTGTGAATTGTCCTTCGTGCTAAACGTTACGTATGAAATCCTCACGCTAGAAATCCCGCAAACGGAGACATTCACGTAATTAAAATAATTAAATATTCGAAATTACCGTTCGCGGAAAGCGACAGAGAAGCTCCGGGGAGGGACATCATCACATCCACGCTATAGCCACCAGAGACTGCCGGTTTATGTGCTAATGCTTCAACTGCTATCAATAAACATTTCAGTTAAAGTGACACATCATTACATTTGCCTTGTGAGGGCTTTGAACAGTGAAACACATTCCTGTAAGGTCATCGACCGCAGTCTCTCCAATGTAAGAAACAATAGAGCAAGAACAAAAACGGGGACGAATCGGACCACCCGCGCAGCACAAAGCGCGTCTTCGATTCAGAAGCGACTTTCGTCGTTCGTACAAAGTTGCACGTCCCTCAATAAGTTGTGCGGTCGGTGGCACACGAAGACGCACGGCTGCCGTCGGAGAACAAGTTTCATACGCGAACAATAGTTAGGATAGCGTCCGTGACTTGCGACGGAAGCGGTTACTCGTTCTGTGAGCGTTTACGCTGTCACACGGTACTACACTTCCGTTTCCCCATACCGTATAATGGCGGCGTAACACACGGAGTCAATGTACGTGTGCTTCGAAAGCAGCAACGCGTTACGACGCAGTCCACTGCTACGCATGCACACGCTGAACAGCAGCTCACCTGCACGATATTTCCCAACGAGATCGCCAGTTAAGGCGCGCGTACAAAGCATTGCACGAGGCTGCTAGCCAGCCGCTTCTTAAAGCATTTGTTTTTTTTTTTTTTCGGGTCAAAGCGATTCGGCAATTTGATTTCTTATCTAGAACTGCTTCCTAGGCGAGTGTGCACCTATGCTTGTCGGTTAATCACTAACCGAGTATCTCGTAGTAGCTTACAGAGCATAACTATCAAGACAGAAAAAAAAAATAAGAAAACGACTGGGCAACAGATAAGACTTTTCGATTTTTTCCCACCACGGAGGTCTATTGTGGCTAGAGTACTCGGCTGCCGACCCGCAGGTCGCGAAATCGAATCCCGGCTGAGGGAGACTGCATTTTCGATGGAGGCGGAAATGCTGTAGGCCCGTGTGCTCACATTTGGGTACACGTTAAAGAACCCCAGGTGGTCTAAATTTCCGGAGCCCTCCACCACGGCGTCTCTCATAATCATATGTTGGTTTTGGCACGTAAAACCTCACATATTAATCAATCAATCCATAAATCAATCAATCAATCAACTTTTAGGTTTTGCTTCTCTCCTTGTTTGCTCCTTATTATAACGCACCTGAAGCGGCGTATCCAGGAAATGGCACACCGGGACTGTGCCCCCTCTGCCCCCCCCCCCCCCCGAATTTTTTTTCCGTTGTGGCATACAGAGCGAAAATTAACTATTTATAAATGATCCCCCCCCCTCCCTGAAAGAAACAATTACTGCCCACGCCCCCGCTCACGTACCGTTTTATTTGTACCATGCTGTGACGGAATAAATCTGTGACGGCACCTCAGTTCTTATTGTTCGATGGCTTATCTCTTACCTGAAACCATACAGAAACAGCTCGCAATCGATTGATGCCCATGATCATGCCCTCAAGAGAGCCATCATAAATAGTTTCACCTGCAACTTAACAAACTAGACAGATGAGCCCGTCTATGACAATAATAAAGGACATATGGTACATCGGTATAGAACACAGTAGACATGGGCGAATTTTCTTATACATCCCGCCATATACAACTCCCTGTTCCAAACATACAAGACGAGCACGTAGACGTAGTAACGGAACTTCATGGCGGCGTGCAGCCCAATTCACCATCTTTCTTTTCTTTCTCTCTTTCTTTGTTTCTTTTTTTTTCTTTTTTTTCTTTCTTTTTTATTTTTTTCTTCTTTTCTTTCCTTCTTTCTTTCTTTCTTTCCGTTTCCGCAAGTCTGCGCATCGATCGCTGCACAAAAAGCAGAAAGGCACGTCCGACTCGAGAAAGGTTTCAATGCGCTGGCTTTGCCTTGTCCCACCCAGGTCGATATACGACCAGCGCAAGGGGGCGCGCGGCACGCGCATTGAGTAAGCAAAGAAAGAAATGGCCTCCCGCGGTCCACCATTTACTCTCCAAACAAGGAAAGGCAGCCCTTGTTATTAGTCCGAGTAATTATTGCGTCCGGGACCGAACGTACTGCCTCTTCTAAGCACTCACGCCATGTAGTGCATAGCGGTGCTAACTCGAGTTCTTTTGTCTTTCGAGCACATGGCCCTGGCTGCAGACAAAGCAACAGGTCAGAGCCCCCCCCCCCCCCCCCCCCCCCCAGCGCACTCTTGTGGTGAAGTACGAAAGATGTGGCAGAAATGTCCGTCCTAATGTACTTATTGCGCACGAACAATGCACACACAGCGGCGACATACAGAGGCACATAGATTGGTCGGCTGGCCGTGGCACACGTTAAGCATTAACGAGAATCAAATCATAGATCGTGCGTTTCCGGGGATGGCTCGATTTGTGTCACTTTTTTTTCCCCCTTACAGGTCGCGGCCTCGTAGCGCGTTGTTTTTAGGCGCTAAGTACACATGCCGAAAGTTATTGAGCAGGCTTGCACGCTCAGCGCGCGAGCACGAAACATGCAAATGAGTAACGCGGTTGCGGAAATGTTGATCCGCAACGGTAGCTAGTACGCTCTCAGAGCCAAAACTAACGTACAGCGTATTGACTGCGGCATGGGTGGTCACCTGCGAACAGAGATTACGCAACATCTGCACGGCAAGTAGCGTGGGGTATTGCTCTCGCGTCAACAGGCTGTTTATGCAGGTTATTTAGAGGTCGCAGACATATTCGAAGGTAAGACAGAAAGAAGATCAACACGCCAAACAATACAACCACCGTATTTCCGGGTATTAGCTGCCCACGTTAAAAACAATAACAGCCGAAAGGCGCGTCCCGGGAAAGCGGTTCCGAACTGTCGACGCGTCGCACGTTGGCGGCTTCGGGTGTATGCGCGATGTGTGCTATACGCAGCTTTTGTCACGTGTAACGAATGCGTGCTCTCAGAGACGTGACGTGGACATATTACGCTTTATGGGAAGCACTCCTGACGCCACTAGTCTCGCTCATATGCCTATGTATGTCACGAGTGCCGTTAAAGCCTGCTGAATATTGAAGACCGCGCGTATATACCTCATTTTACTACGTACTTATTAGAGACGTCTGCGGCAGTGGAGCAGTGAACTTCGGCTGGTGACCAGAAGGTGGCGGGTTTGATTCGGGGCGCGGCGGTCGCATTTCAAGGATACGAAATGGGAACCCTGTGCAATGTCGAACATCGGATGATCGCAATTCCCGGAGCTCTCCACTCCAGCGTCTCTCATGATTATATCATCGTTCGTTTTGGGACGTTAAACACTACTAACTATTATTATTATTATTATTATTATTATTATTATTATTATTATTATTATTATTATTATTATTATTATTATTATTATTATTATTATTATTAGACGCGTTATATTGTCAGCCAGAATGCCGATGTGCTCCTCTCCTGGCATACACCAATTAGAACTCTGCTTATTTGCCCCTAATGAAAGGTTTCAAGGTTTCTGTTTGTTTGTTTTTTTCCCTGGATTTAAACAAATATATGCGTTTCTAACAAACATTCGTGAAAGCTTCAGCAAGCTTACCCGTGAGAATCGGTTTTTATTTTTCGTTTGCAAACATGCTGGCTGTTACCGGTGTCATCGCGAACCAGGCGCCAGGCAACTGCCCTCGGCCAAGTTGCATACGTATTCGCTACCACTGTCTCAAGCGCGGCAAGGTGGTGCGTCAACGTAAGGAGATAAATAAGCAAATAAACGAATGAAGAAAAAGTGACATACGACTACTCATCAAAAAGATAGAGTAAAAAAAAAGAAACTGCGATACCCACAGGGACGTAAACCAGTCGAGGATTAACACCATGAATGCTTGCCTCAAACGAGAATGTTTTATCATAGCACGACATCCGATGCGGGACGTACACACAGGATTTAGACAGCCCCAGCCACCTGCATCAACTGATATTGTTGAAACTGGACGTGCGAGTGGCACCAGATGATTTATACGACACACGCCTTATTGAGGGCCTCGTTTAGATATCGGACATCTAAGTTTCAGTTGAAAGCAGCACTGATTTTGTGTTCTCCATTCGTCTTACGTTGTCTTTTACGCTTACAGAGGTTATTTTTTTTATTCATTCATACTGTCAGCCCAAGGGCCAAGACAGGAGTTGGGGTTACATATCTGGCACGTACAAAGAACATATGTGAAAAAAAATTCCACACTGTACGCTCAATGCGCATACTATGTGGAAGTAACAATAACAAAAACGCAAAACTATATCAGAATACATCCCGCATAGGTCACGGATAAAATAAACATGTTCGAATACATCTCGTACACGTCACCAAAAAGAGAAAAAAGATTTGAAGTGATATAGTACATATTGAACATATTGATATAGTACATTGAACGTATTCAACCGACAAGGAACAGGCAATTTGGTTACAAATATTCTGACAAAGCCTTTTCGAACCTTTGTAAATCGCAATGTTCGACTATGTATTGAGGTAATTGATTCCAGTCATCGATGCTCCGAACCAAAAACGAATACTTGA